GAAGGGGCCGACTTCCGGAGCTCCAGTGGAGATGTGGGGGAAGGGGCGGACTTCCGGAGCTCCAGTGGAGCTGTGGGGAAGGACCCGGACTTCCGGAGCTCCGGCGGGAGCTGCGGGAGTGCTGGCTGCCCGGGAGCTGCGCTGTTGGTTGGCCCGCGGTGGTGGGAAGCGGCGGAGCCGGCAGCTGACGGGTCCTTGCTTCCAGATCATGTTCCCGGTGGCCTACTGCAGCATCGTATACTGGATGACGTCGCAGCCGTCCGACGCCGTGCGCTTCGTGCTGTTTGCCGCGCTGGGCACCATGACTTCCCTGGTGGCGCAGTCCCTGGGCCTGCTGATTGGAGCCGCCTCCACATCCCTGCAGGTGCCAGCCCGTGGGGCGCTGAGGGCCGGGCTTCCCCGCGCCACCTTGGCCTGAGCTAGGGGGCTCTGCCACACCTCCCCTACCTCCGCCCTGACCTCCTAGATGGGGTCAGTCCCGTGGGAAGGGCCCACACTGTCGGGTGGTCAGGATCCGGGGGCTTACACGGTGCGCACAGCAGGCGCTCTCACGTGTGCTGACTGCCTGCCGCGTGCTCTTCCCAGCGCCCCGCAAATCTGAGCTCCTAGCCCCGAGCACAGCCACGCTTAGGTGCTGTGCTGGCCCTGTTTTACACAGGGGGACACTTGAGTCCCAGAGACGCAAAGTGATCTGTTAGGGTCGCACCGCTGGCTCCGGGGCCAAGCTCTCAGCAGCTGCATGGCTGCCTCTGCAGGGTCCCCTCGGCCTCTCCCCCAGCTCCTTCCTTCTCCCACTGCCCACCCTATCCCCCTACCTGCCACCCACATGCACCTGCAGGTTCTCCTCTTCTGTGGCTTCAGGGCGCCCTGGCTGAGCCTGTCCTTCCAGACAAAAGCAGCAATCCTGGGTGGATTGGGAACACCTGAGGCCCCCAGCTGGGTGCAGTTTATTCCTGGTCACCTCCAGGCCACCATGAGCCGGATTCCTGGCCCCTAGGGCCCCAGTGCCCTCACCCTGGGTGAGGATAGCCATCTCACAAGGCTGCCATGGGACCAAAGATGACACTGCAGGAAGGTGCCAGGCTCACACTAGCCATGGCAACCCACGTCCCCCAAAGCCAGCCCCAGAGCACCTGCTTAGCCACTCCCAGGCCTCCTGCCCAGGACGCTCAGGCTCCACGGGGATCACTGATCGGCGCAGGGCTGGGATGCCCCTGTCTGCACAGCTGCATACAGCACATGCACACACACACTAAACTACACACCACACACTGCAGACACACCACCTACACACTGCATACGCACACACTACAGTACACACACACACACCCTACACTACACACCACACACTACACACATACCACACCACACACTGCAGACACACCACCTACACACTACATACACACTGCAGTACACACACACCACGGTACACACACACCCTACACTACACACCACACACTACACACACACCACACCACACATTGCAGACACACCACACACTGCAGACACACCACACCACACACTGCAGACACACCACCTACACACAATATACACACCATACACTACATACACCACACTAAACACACCAAACTACACACGCACCATACTGTATACACTACACACACAACGCACTACACACACACAAATACTACATGTGCACACCACACAGTACATACCACATACCATACCCCACACACTGCACACACACACACACACTACACACAAACCACACTACACATCACACATTACATACCACACACACTATAGACACACCACACTACACACTACATACAAACACTACACCACACACACAAACACTACTTAAACACAACACATAGTACAGACCACATACCACACTCCAGACACTGCACATGCACAAACACACATTACACACTACCTGCTATGCACACACACCACTCACTGCACATGCATATACTACACACTACAAACATTGCATACTATGCACACACTACATACACACCACACACACCACACACACACACACACACACACACCCTCCTATCCCCCACACCCTCACAGCCCCTGGCTGGACCTGTGCTCCCTCTGAACCCTGAGTCGTGGCTGTTGGTTCCATCTCTGGGCCGCTCTCCCGCTGGTGCTGACAGGTAGGCGCCCATCCGACATGCAGAGTCTACAGTCCCTCCACTGGGCCCCGACTGCGGGGATGCCTGCCACACACCTGCCATGGGCCAGGCACGGTCCTTAGCCCCCCACGGACAGCTGTGGAGGAGCAGATGGCAGCCCCTTGAGGAGGGTGTGCCCTCATCTGTCTGGCCCTAGGGACATCCACCAGGTCCCAGCTCACCCTGGGCTGCAGGAGGCTCTGGGGCTCCTGTGTCACAGCAGGGGGACCTCAGAGATGGTGATCTCACCCCTCAGGGACACTGCACCCTCTGCCCCATAAAGTACCCTCATTACTGTGCCCAGAAGGTGCCCTGGCCCTGCCTGGGGGAAGCTGGGGTGGGCGAACCCCCGTCTGCAGGAGGCCAACCTGTGGGTTCTGCTACAGCTATCCTGTGTCCCCCCAACTCCAGGTGGCCACCTTCGTGGGCCCGGTGACGGCCATCCCAGTGCTCCTGTTCTCGGGGTTCTTCGTGAGCTTTGACACCATCCCCACATACCTGCAGTGGATGTCCTACATTTCCTATGTCAGGTAGTAGGCGCAGGGCACGTGTGGCATGGGGACCCAGGGTGATAGGGAAGAACCGTCTCCAATGGTGTGAGGAGCTCAGAAAGCTCCTCTGGACATCTGGCCAAATATGAATCACGCATATGAGGATCGATGCCTTCCATCTTCCTCCTAGTTCCACCTGCTCCCACCCTCACCAACACACACACACAGACACACACAGTAAACAAGGAGGCCACAGAAACCAGCGCCTCACACCCTGAGAGCCCTGGCAGGTCCTCGCTTTCCAGACTTTGCGAGAGCAGCCTTCAGTGGAAACGCTTCCATCATTTAGGACGTTCTTCCTCTCCAAAGTGAACAGTGCTCCTAACAAGTACTGATTGTAAAACCTTTATAGGAAATCTGGTGGGGGCTGGGTGCGGCAGCTCATGCCTGTAATCCCAGCACTTTGGGAGGCCGAGGTGGGCAGATCACTTGAGGTCAGGAGTTCAAGACCAGCCTGGCCAATATGGCGAAAACTTGTCTCCACTAAAAACACAAAACAATTAGCTGAGCATGGTGGCACGTGACTAATTCCAGCTACTCAGGAGGTTGAGGTGGGAGGATCCCCTGAACCCAGGAGGCAGAGGTTACAGTGAGCTGAGATTGTGCCACTGCACTCCAGCCTGGGCAACAGAGGTGACTCCATCTCAAAAAAAAAAAAAAAAAAAAAAAAAGCCCTTTTTAAACATCCTAAACATTCTAGTATCTTTGAATGAGAATGCCTAGTGCCTCGGGTCCTTGGCTACGGGGTTTCGTGCCCTCTGCACGAAATGTTGGCACACTGTCCCCACCATGGGCAGCACCCGTCTTCCGAGCTGCAGAAGTTCCACATGACACAAAGATCCAAAGTTGGGAACAAGCTCTTCCTTTCTAGAATGTCAGTTCAGACCCAGGTATATTGTGGAGGAAAACAGAATCAAAACAAAGCACTTGTACAGAGTTTCAACAGCCTGTGTGTGCTCCAACAGCAGGAAATCAGAAACCGACGTCTTTCTTCTCCAAATTAGTGCTTTTGTTCTGACAGGGCAGGGCTGGAACAGAGGGAGAAGGGGGCAGGAATGTTTCATAGAAATGCTCTCAAGTCCTTGCAAGTTGGCCTGCCCGATTCCAGCTGACCATTAGAAAGTATGTAACCTCGGAAGTGGACAAAAGGTTTTTCAGTGCATTTCACCAGTGAATGAGTATCTCCTGCTCTTTCTACTTGGTTTTTTGCTGGGGGCCCTGGAGGAAACAAAATTGGAAGGAAAACATAGTGGAGCTGCTGGGTGTGTTTATCTTAAGAAGGTGGTGGGAGGGGAGGAAGTATTCTGGGAAGCCAGCTCTTTGGGAAGGAGGGAAAGGTGGGCTGGGAAGCGCAGGGAGGGTGAACAACTTTGACCTTCAGCCAGCGGTGTGGCTGGCTGGGAGAGCGTCCTCCCTCACGCCCGACCTTTCCTCCAGGTATGGGTTTGAAGGGGTCATCCTCTCCATCTACGGCTTAGACCGAGAAGATCTGCACTGTGACATCGACGAGACGTGCCACTTCCAGAAGTCGGAGGCCATCCTGAGGGAGCTGGACGTGGAAAACGCCAAGCTCTACCTGGACTTCGTCGTGCTTGGGATTTTCTTCATCTCACTGCGCCTCATTGCCTATTTTGTGCTCAGGTACAAAATCCGGGCAGAGAGGTAAAACACCCGAATGCCAGTAAAGAGGAAGATTAGACACTGTGGCCGAGGGCACGGCTAGAATCGAGGAGGCAAGCCTGTGCCCGACCAACGATGCAGAGACTCTTCTGATCCAACCCCTAGAACGGCGTTGGGTTGTGGGTGTTCAGCGGCTCCGCCCAGCTCGGTTGGGTCTTCACTCCCCTTTCTAGCTTTAACTAGGAAGATGTAGGAAGGTTGGGGGTTTTTTCTTTTACATACAGAATTTTAAATACCACAACTGGGGCAGAATTTAAAACTGCAACACAGCTGGTGATGAGAGACTTCCTCGGTCAGTCCCGTTCCTCCTTAGCACCAGGCACCCTGAGTCCTGGGTGGGGGACCACAAGCACCCTCTCAGCGGAGGGCTGTGCAGTCAGAGGCCTCGAGGCAGAGGGTCCAGGCACGGAGCGATTCCACGTTATGACTGTTGTTTTTCATAGTTTCATCTTTCTAAGGTGTGTCTCTTTTCCAACGAGAAGTCATTTTTGGAAGCCAAAAGTTCATACAATGCATTCACTTTAAGAAATTGTACCTTTTTAGTACTTGTTGAAGAATGATTCAGGGTAAATTGCGTATTCTGTTTAGAGAGGAAAGGGGTTTAACTGAATCACCTAGCTGGTCTCATACACAGACAGCACTTGTGAAGGATTGAATGCAGGTTCCAGGCGGAGGGGAGGTGTGGACGCCATCTACACTGAGCCATGCAGAATTTTTTAAAAGCTATACAAAAAGTTGTAAGAAGACATTGGCCTACTCTTTCAAAGTCTTTTATTTTCCACATGCTTCTCATTTTAAGCAAAATATATTGTTTGTTTCTTCCTAGCTTTCTGACTACCTTAATTTTGCCTTGGTTGATTTAAAAAAAAAAAAAAAAAACAGTTTTCCTTTCCTCCTATATCATATCAACTACCTCCGCTGAACCTGGAAGAACAGGGCTTAGGGAAATTTCAGGTGCGACCTTTGAGGGTTGGCTCTGCAGGGGCAGCCAGCAGTGACTGATGGGCTAAGTGCACAGGAGGGGAGGATGGCAACGAGATGGCATCGGAATCCAAGGGCTTCAGCACGCTGAGGCATTTGAAACTTGATCACACAATGCATTTAGAGCGGTGGGGATTTCATCTCTGGCTTTTGTGACCTCACAGCCACATCACCACCTCAGTGTTCAGCTTGTGTAAACTTTGAATATTGGAAACACCTTCTTTCCTGTGACTGAATTGCATAAGTAAAATCCTGCTAGGGTAGGCACAGTGCCTATCTGGAGGTCAGGTGGCTTTGAATCCATAGCAAGGCTGCCTGTGCACTTGTCAGCTCTTGGAGGCAGTTTGACCTCACGCAGAGAAGTCGATTCCAGCCAAAGATGTCCATCTTTCAGAAAATGCCATTGTTTTCTCCTTCCAGAATATCACTATCGAATCAGGACTTCCAATTGAAAGACTATTTTTGTGGGCAAATCAGTGAACGTCTCTGAGCCACATTTTTCCTCATCTATAAACAGTTATGCCACATTGTACTCAAGGCCATTGCCAGCCCAAAGGTGGTGGGATTCCTCGGTGATGTCCTTGAAGCTCGTTTCCCACTTTGAAAGAACGAAAAGGGTCTGAATTTTATTTATACGTGGATTTAGTTTGTAAATTCTTAGAGATTCCTTTTTTACTCCTAGATCTTTTTTAGTAAACACAATTGAGGTAGATATTAAAGTGTAATTTTAAGTGTGCTTGTTCTATACAAATATGGCATTGCCTTCCAGATTTAGTTTTTAACCAGAGTCCAACTTAGCCTTTATGAAAAGTCCTCGTTTAATTTCAAAATAGATCTTCTTGTAAGATGTTGTTCATAGGGAAGACCTACATAGGAACAGCCTGGTGAAATACAGGATCGGAAAAGGCCGAAAGTCCTTGCTCATGGCTCAGAACTACATGGAGCGAGGTCAGTGTTGAAGGCGCCCGCTCCCTCGGGGTGAGCCTTTCCCATTGTGGATTTGTGTTGTGGGCTCATGGCCCTAGTAGGGGTGTGTCTGTCAGGAACCATGCATGGCTCACAGCCCTGCTCCAGAAGCAGCTTGGTCTTGTTTGCTGAGACCACTTGCTGTGCCTCATCAATTTCAGCAGGAAAGAGCGAGATGCTTTTGGATTTAAAATCTGCTTTCCAAGAGCACCTGAGCCCTCTGACGGAATTACTTTCGTAGGAGTTTGATCAGGGTACTTCCAAGGGGGAAGAGCTTGGGAACCATGAGCGCTGCAAGAAGGGAATGGGTATGTGAGATCAAGGGGGTCTATTTTTTGAAGGAATGGAGCTGCCTGGCTGGAGCTCGGGGAGCTATGGGCTAATGCAGCACCTAACACCGAGCTCCATCTACGCCTTGCTCACCTCAACTGGAGCAGGTAAGGATTCTGCAGTCAGTGTCCCAGGATGCCTTTGCTCAGCCGTCTCCTGTAGACTGGAGGAAAACCCATAGCCAGGAAAAGAGAGGGTGTGTCTGTCCCAGGCGCAGCCAGCATCCCTCTTCCAGGTTCAGCAGGGGTCCCCGGTTGGGCATTTTCCTCGTGACCCTTGGCAGCATTGGCTCAAATGCTATTGTTTAGCTTTCCAGATATTTCCCCTCTGCTTTTTGTGTTAAGGTAGTTTGGTAAAATGCCTTACTCCAGTGACCTAAGATAACAGCAAGCTACTCACTGATTTACTTCCCTAACTAGCCGTGGTTAAGAGGCACATGGTGATGTGCTGTCTTTCACATGTTGGAACTTAAACCCAGGCCAACTCCCCAAATCTAATTTGTTTCAGTAATTGCTGAATGTCATGACCCAGGTATTCTTTTCATCTCTGATTGAGTTTCTTCGGTTGGAAGGAAGGATTAAACTTTGGACAAAGATCCGCAGCACCCCAGTGGTGTAGGTGAAGATGGGTGTTTGAGTGAAGCTGCTGGGGCCATTCGCCTTTGTCTGCATCCAAAGTATTTTGTGCCTCTCTTTCTTCTCCTCTGGCTGAACATCAACTGGAGATTGAATTCTCTGAAAGTCCCCATGTGGGTGAACTGTGCAGCTGTCCCCAGGAAGGGGGGTAACTGCAAAGTTTTACACAGTCGATGGTAGAATTGGATTACATCACCTGGGGAGGTGCCTCCAGGACCAGGAAATGGGACTTGGAGATTTGAGGTGAAAACTCGTCATAGAAACCCACAAACAGGCATTCTCCCAGCCATCCATCGGGACAGACCACACTCATAGGGCGGAAACCGGGCTTGGTTGGTTGAGCGAGAAGAGAAGGCGTGAGGCCTGGCACACCAAGCACCTTTCCTCATGGCTTGTTCCAGGCGCTGGGCTGGATGCCCTCAGAACCCCTCTGTCCCCTGCCCACTCCTCAAACCCTTACTGACCCACCCCTCTCGCCTGGTGCTGTCCCAGGCCCTGGAGGTTGGGGGGTGGGGACTCCAACGTGGGCTTGCCCTCCATTGTGGTGGGAGGGAACCGCGTGGCCACTTGGCTTAGACCTACTCATGGTGCAGACGTGGAACGCTGAGGTGGGGAGAGGCTTCGTGACGTCCCCAGGGCCCCAGAGTCAGGAAGGAGCAGAGTGGGAATTACAGCCCGGTTGGACCCCAAAGTCGCTGTTTTGTTACTGCCTCCTGTTTATGGCATATGAATGTACCTGAGATACTTTGTAAGGCATAAAGTGCAATACTAGCTTCATGGCTGTTTGTTCAGTGATTGATTGTGTCTCCAAATAGGTGGCTGAGATGAGAGGGCAGCCCAAGCCTAATGCCTGTCAAAGGCCTTGCATCAGAGTGCCCGAGACAGGCATCTCTCTGCAGAGAGGGGCTGTCCCCTGCCCTCGCCTGCTTCTAGCTTCCTAGTGTAATAGTCCTGTGGACTAGCTTGGGCTTCAGAGGGGCGGGTGTGTGTGTGTGTGTGTGTGTGTGTGTGTGGTGTGTATGCGTTTACCTACTTGCAAGCATGTGTGCCCACATGCACACACATACATGCACACACACGCACAAGCAGGTGTGCTGACTTGGCTCCAGGCATGTGTCTGATAGTATTCTATCATGTTTCCTTCATCTCCATAGAATACCAGCCTCTGAATCCTCAATCAGCCCTTACTGCAAGAAGAAAAAGAAAAACCTCTCTCATTGCAGGTCTGCGCAGACAGGAAAAGTGTAGTCAAAACCCATTAAGGCTTTAGTCAAATGCCAGCTGAATTAGAACGCAATGGAAGTTAGACAAACAACCCAACTGGGCAGGCGGGGGAGGAGCAGAGTGTGTAAGTATAAAGTTAGAGACTTCTAAGGAATGAAGACTGCTAATAAAATATTTTGTAGAAACTTTTTACCTGTGTTCAGTGTCAGATGCTTCAAGGGATTGGCTTGTATTTTCCTGAGTGCATGGATTTTTCGGCTGTGTCTGGAGTACGTTTGTTGACGCCCAGGAAGAGCACAGATTTGTCACTTATGTTCTTGTCTAAGACCTGGCTGTAGATGAGCTCTTTCTCAATAACAATCATGTTTTATGTTGAATTGTCTTAAAGTTTTGTGTTTCCTGTTCTCCCAGAATCCTCACCCATATCCTTCTGCCTTGTAATGTTGGCCATGACCTCGAAACGTGCCTGGAGGAGGCTCACGGCAAGGCCAGCGGGAGGGCGCTAGGCCACACCTTACCTTTGGTCCTCTCTACCCTTGCAGGGGCTCCCTCAACCTGGGCTCTGGGTTGGTAGCTCAGGCAAGGCGACGTCGCTTCTTCCTTTCTCTGCCTTGCTGGAAACCCATTTCCCAGGCTCAGCTCTGTAGAGGCAGTTGTTAGTGGGAAAAGCAGCCCCTCTTGAGGTTTTGGTCCCAAAGTTGAGGTAAGCAGGGCGTAGAAGGAGCTCGGTGTTAGGTGCTGCATTAGCCCATAGCTCCCCAAGCTCTGGCCAGGCAGTGACCCTCAAAGCGAGGACTTGCTGGGATAGCAATGGCTTAGAGCTGGGCTTTCAAATCCAGCTTCCCTCCCACCTCTGGGACGCTGAGCAGAGAGCTGGGCTGAGTGAGGTCACAGAATTGACACACAGTGGCCCCTGCACTCTTCCTATTGTAGGCAGGCACCATTGGGGCAGCACTGGCTGCCCCAGCCGTGCACGTGAGCTTCTGACCCCCACTTTGCTTCCCCCTCTGTAACCCCTGCCTCTCTGGACTGCCTGGCCACGCTGGGTCCAGCTAACACTCAAGTCATCGTCCTTCCAGGCCACTGTGCTTGGCCTGTCCCATCAGGGAGATTCTTCCAGGATAACCACCCCTGCAAAGGCAGGGGTTTCTGATGTTCACATGAGGGGCTCACTTTTCTGAGAACATCCCTGGGACCAGAGCAGGGGAGAAATAGGAGACCCTGCACCCCATGGCAGCCTAATTTTAACTTACAAGCTCAGTTCAGGCTGTCCTTAAAATCTGTGCATCCTGGGCAGGAAGGAAATGTGGTGACGAGCACACATGCACGTCCTCCCATCTTTCTGCTGTGCTGGCCTGAAGTGCCCAGTAACCATCCTGCATCCTGCCCGTTTCCCTTTTCCATATTTGAGGAAACAGGTTTAGCCTAGCCCAGTTTCTTATCTCTGAACAGGCCAACCTGGAATCACCCTCACACAGACATGTGTGGCTGCCCAGTGTGTCCGAGGCTCACCCAGAGACCCTGCTTTGCCTGGGGTTGAGCGAATGACACACATGTCAGCAGAGGCTGGGGTTAGGACCCTGAGGCTTCCCTGTTCTCAGAAATAGTCTCCCGGCATCAAAAGGAGAAAACAGTCCTTGCCACTGGCTACCACATTGCAGCCTGGCAAGGGGTTACTGTGTATAGAGGTACCATTTGGGGCCTTTTCCATGTAGAATGGCCTCTGTAAAGCTGAAGAGAAAGGAACAGAAGCACAAAAGCACCTTGATTTGTTGCAAACACAGGCAGGGTGTGCCGGCTGGATGAGGGCTCTGCATTTTGAGGGCATGCTGGACAGTGCGGGCAGAGGCAGCTCTGAGGGGCTCCTCTTCATCTGTGGGCTAAGCTTGTCCAAGTCACTCCCCTTTTCCAGAAAGCCACCCCCCAGGGGCACCTGCCTTTCCCGGCCCGGTTGAGGACACAGCCATGGGCACATATGTGTTTGTTTCACTGGAGTTCATGGTTTGGGGCACAGTCTTCTAGCCCCGAGATATCCAGAAAGGCATGAGCCCAAGCCACATGCCTACAAAGTAGCTCAAGTCAACATTATTACATTGAGCTGTTTTCTCTCAATAGAGCACCACCATCCTCTGGGTGTCTGCACTGAGAAAACAGACGAGGGAATCTGGCTGATCACTTTGGGCACCTTTGGCCTAAACTTTGCACCTGACTTTCAACGTGGCCCTGCCTGATATGCACGCAGTAAGAAATGCTTTTCATTTTATGGTCCCTGAGTTACGAGATCAGATCTCTGGAAATGTGTAAGCCACCTGCTGTTACCTCTGGCCCATGTGGCTCATTACCATGAGGGCAGGTGAGCAGGGAGAGACGCTGAGGCCTGGCTGGCGTGCCTCCCTAGTGGTCTAAGTGGGGGCCAGTCCTCTATGTCCCCCAGACAAGTCTCCCTTGAAGGAGGTTTCTGCAGCCCTGAGAGCCGGCACTAGGAGTTGGCTCTTCACTGCTCATTGCCCCTGTCTGCGAGCCTCTAGAAAACAGTTTGCTAAATGGGAGTGTGCTGCAGCCGGGGCACCAGCAGGCGTGTCCGTTTCTGGGGAAGTCACCGAAACAATCTCCCCTCTCAGGGGGCCCTGGTGTGCCCCCTCCTGCTGGTTGAAATTCGGCCTCAAAGGGGACGGTTAGGAAGTTATGCAGTACGTGGGTTTAGGGTTGACAGCCCTAGGTCCATGGACTCCTGTAGATCCCTGAACGCTGCCTAATCTGAACGGCACCACAATTTGGTTTGTCTGAAAATAGGACAATGGTAGCAACTTCATTTTCACACCTTTGCATTTTTACATATCTGTCTTTGTACATCTTGGGGGGTCTCTTTTCCATGACCTACCAGCTTCCCAAGCTTAATAGTCACTATCTCACTATGAGGTCCATGGCCAACTAAAAATAGTAGCAAAACATCCTATCATCCAAATTGCTAATAAAATCGACCACACCCACACTGAGGCTCTCCATCTTTACAGCCTGACCCTCTCTCCCGGACGGTGTGAATGGGGATCAGTTGTTCAATCTAAAGTGTTTGTTTAATAAGTTCCTATGTGTAGCTGACCCCTTTGCCTTTGTTTTTATAGATTTATATTTTTTCCTTTGTAGACATATTGAGGCAAAACCTGTTCCTAGTTGACTCTGTCTCGAATTGTTGCCTTTTATTTGATGAAGAACTATCTAAAGATTTTCCTTTGTTATTTCTTCTAAAGCAAAAGTCAATGCAAGTAACTCTAATGAGCGTGGAAACACGCACATATACCTGTATATCTGCTATGTAATTATATAATACCTGTTTTTATAATACTGTGTGGATAACTTTACACTGATTTAATTACCTGACTATAGGAAGCACTGTTGCTTTGCACGCTGTGAGAGGCTCGTACTGTTACAGATGAATGCAGCATATTTACATATGTACGTGTATATACATATATATATATTCAAAAATGACGGCGGCTCTTTGGGGTGCCTGTTTCCTTGGTTCTTTCACTCCACTGGAACGTTGAACCTGAGCAGACCCTAGGATGTGAGCTTCCTGACTCCACCTTACAGACCACAGAGCCCCATGTCTATTTCTGTAGACCTATCTCCTTAGATTTGTACGTGCGTTTTTTGCAGATTTGAACTTTGTTTTCTGAAATTAGATGCCATTTATGATGATGTGACATCAATCAAATAAAGCATCATTATTTTCAGATTTCTGCTTCTCTTTCCCTTTTGCTTTCAACAGCCCCAGCTCTCAGACCTGCCTGGGGAGTCAGGTCGGGTAGAGCGTCTAGCACTTTCCCTCACCTACCCTTGCTCTGGATGGAGCAGTTCCCTCTTCAGTGTCATGATGGACTCCAGGGAGGAAGACAAATGAGAGTGACAGTGAGGATGCCTGCAGCTCCAGGCTCCATGGAACACTGCGTGGCGTCCCCGCCTTTTCCTGTGTAATCTAACGTGACCGTCATCAACAGAGCTGGAGGGCCACAACTCGCTCCATTTTTCAGGTTAAAAAAGACGAGGTTCACAGAGATTACACAGCTTGCCAAGGCCACATACCTGGTGGGTGGCAGGGCTGGCCCGTGGCAGGGCTGGTCGGTAACAGAGCTGGTCAATGGTGTCTCACACAGAAGTGAGACCCTGGCCATCTAGCCAGGGAGCCAGGGCTCCTGGCCACTCCATGGTGCTCCCTTCCTCAGCAAGAGGCATTTAGGAATTGAGACCACACAGGAAAATTGCTTTGTGTAGGAAGTGGTATGGCAGGTCCGACCCTCATGACCAGTGGAAACGTCTCTCAGACACTTGGCTGAGGGGTGAGATGATGTGCCAACATCTCCAGGGATTGGCCTTGAGGTCCTTATGCTGTCAGGGGCCCCTGTGAGTCAGCACTGGGGCCTAAGTCCAGGTGTCATCTGGGGCCATCACCTGGGATATGGTCCTAGTGGGCCCTACTTGGAGGTGAGGAGGAAGGTGTGCATGTGTGGGCAGGGATGGGACAGCACAACTGGTGACCTGGCATGCAGACTCAGCCCTCCCCCCAGCACTGTGATGCAATGAAGACAACAGCTGCCTCTGTACTCACGATCTCCCACACTCCCCTCCCTCCTGCCCTGTTTCCCCATCTTTAGATGCCATCCCATGCCCCAAACCCACCCACCAAACACAATAGCCTCTCCCCCACCCACCCCATGAGGTCACTCAAGTTCACAACCAGATAACAGTTTGTTGACCCATCCCCTCCACCACTGGGAAAGGGCTGGGCACTGCCCACACTCCACGAGGCTCTCCTCCCCTGCCTCAGAATTGCTGCAAGCCTGCAGACCAGAGGCGCAGTGCTCCCCACGCCTGCTTATTGGCCGTGGGGCATCCTCTTTTGGAGTGCTCCAGAATCCATGCAGAGAGCAGCACCCCACATCCAGAGCGCTCTAGGATCCATAGAGCATGTGACACCCCCTCGTTGGAGCCCTCCAGAATCCATGAAGCACATGGCAACCCCTCATCAGAACACTCTGATCCCTCCCATGCAGTGAGCAGCACCCCACACCCAGAGCACTCTAGAATCCGTGCCATGCACTCCAGACTCTATGCAGTCGGGGGTCCTCCAATGGACCCTGAGATTGTTTCTGCAAAAGGCCATGCCTTCATAAATCTGAAAATTTGGAAAAC